CTCTTTCCCAATTAGAGGCCCAGTGAAGGCATGAAGCCACCTGATGGTGTCATTTTATAACCACTGATCAAGCTTTAAGTTCGATTTGCTCTCAGCCTTGTAGCTGCAAGATATAAAAATTCTCTGGTTTACTCACCAAGCCTTGCGCTGAGAATTTGTCCTTCGAGCTCGTCTTTCTTTCCTTTAAGCTGTTTAATGTCATTAGCAGAACACCCTGCCCAACAGCCCTTGACTTCAGACTCATTTTTATATTCTTCCATGGCAGGAGCCACCAGGTCCCCGAAGCCTTGCTTTTGATGGGCACTTTGTTCTGGGGGACCACAGGATTAGCAGCCTCACCATAGCACGCCATGGGCTGCTGCTGTCCTGTTTCTTAATACTAGCTGGATTTTCCCTGCCCTCGGACCAGTTTCCAGTCTTACATCGGCCTCCCTTTCCCTTAGAATTTCTTGCTCCATCCACTCCTAGCTGTATTTTTGTACCAATCGAGGTTCTTAGTTTTAAGAAACAGAAACTGATTCTGGCAACTCTAAGCAGAAAAGGAATTTATCGAAGATACTGGAGGATCCGATCTGAAAGAGACCCACCGCCTCTGCTGGACACAGACATCACGGTTGGCACTACCAGTGTGGGATGGAGGTGCTACCACCTTTGAAAGCTGGCACTGCCACCATCGTGCGCTGAGACGCGCTTCTTCACTCGGCAGCTTTAATTCAAAGTTAGGCGTGTAGGTCTCATTGGAGAGACCAAGTAATGTGCCCAGCTGTAAGGGAGGCTGGGAAAAGGAGGCAGAAAGGGGCATTTTAAGCTTCTTTCATGGGAGGCAGGTTCTGTCTCGAAGCTGGGGATACCTCTAACACAGGAAATGGGCTCAGGTGTGGAGTGATCAAAGGAATGACTCACATTTACTGCAAGAAGCCACCTGGTGCATCTAGGGCTCTGGCCTGCAATGCTGGCCTTGTCGGCCGCATGCTCTAATCAAGGGCCTCACCAGCCATTGGGTTCTGCGCAGGGAGGAGTAGGTAATGGAGCAGCTCTATGCAAAGGCAGCATGGCCTGGAGGCACTCATAGAACCAGGCTCTGCTGGTAGCTGAACCCCCCAAGTGTCTTCAAGTAAGTTCTCTAACTTCTTGGTACACTGTAGTGATTGTGAGGCAGGAGAATGAGATCTCATCGCCCCTCTCAACTTGTTCTCCGTGTGACCCTGAATGCATACAGTAGCCTTTCCATTAAATGGGGGTACTATTAGCATCTTCTCTGTGAGGTTGTCACGAGGATTAAATGAGATGATGGATGTAAAGTCCGTAGCACAATGCGTGGCAAATTGTCAGAATTCAGTAACTGTTAAGTGCTGGTTGCAATCTTTAATATTAGGGATGATACAATGACCCCTTCCTTTCTTCATGGTAGCTCTATGAAAATAAGTGAGCTGCTTTACGTCCATCTGATAATTTCAGGGTGGTCGTGTCTGTGACAGCTCAGGGAACTCTGAGGACCTGTCATGAGATATGTCCACCCCCTTCTGCTTCTCTTTTTCCTATTTTTGTCCTTCTATCCACTTTGCCTCTCTGTTTTGGTCTTCTGCTTTCTTCCCACCTGATTGCTGACCTCCCTTGTTTTTATATCATCTGCTCTCACTCATTATGACTGCCATTCATCAACTGTCCTACCTGTGTTTCATGCAGTCAAG